GCAGGTTTTCTCTTTCTTATTGCTGAAATGTATCAGGAATGTAGAACTCCTTGTAACCTCCTTGTAAAGCGTAGTGATGGGAAGAGAAATGTGACTGACATGCTGCACAACTGAAATAATTCTCATAGCCATCCCATACCCTCCTTCTACCCCTCAGTAAGATCAAGTCCCAGGCCTTGGTGAGTATCTAGCTTATTACTCCTGTTGTCTGTTTCTAGCTTTCTACTGGTGTTCTACCAGCTTAATTCTCCTGGTTCCCTCCATTTCCAGAAGGTCTTCTGAATTCTTGATTAAATGACCTTCATGTCACTTCAAGGAACCACAGTTCTGGAGCTTCCCTGGGAAGAAGGAATGATTGCTAAGTCAGTTTAAGACCAATATATAGATATTAGGGGCTGAAGTATACGCCTTACTCTTCATTTCTTTAGCCCTGACATGCATGCGTTAAAGATAATAATCAAGTGGTGCAAAGGACAGAGCACGATAAAGATCCTGGCAAGGAGGGAGGGAGGATACTTTCTATTTTTGCTCCTGCCAAGGTGCCAGGCTGTATTTACATGCAGTGTTCTTAATAGCAATATGACACATGGGGCTCCCTGTCATGTCATCTGATGCTCAGTCCAAACCTCCCTCCTCAAGCTATTTCTACCATTATAGTGCATATTTTTTCAGAACAGTCATATCACAACTCTTTCATATGTTACAGATTGTCTTTGGTATATGTATCAGTGAGTGTTAAACTTGTGGTACCATTCTGGGACCAGAAGAAAGGTTGGTGGACTGTGGAGGAAAAGGAAGTGTCTTGCTGGGGCTGGGGCTAAACAGCAGCACCTCTGAGAAGGAGATCCTTCAGTTGCTTTCCTGACTTCCTTGGCCTCCCCATAACCCCTCTCTTTCTCCCTCTGCCTTGTTAACCAGAGAGTAAATGCTATGCTGTTTTCCCCTCACCTTAAAAAGTAAAGTTTGGGATGTCTCCTTTGTCCCCTCACATCAAGAACAACTAGCTGAAAATGAAGTACATATTGGAAAAGACAGACTCTTTTAGAACTCTGAGCTTGAATGTCTGAGCAAAAATAAAAGAAACACAGCCAAACCCTAACTTGAAATATAATTCGACTGATAAAGCCTACCCAATGTTTATATCTTAAGACGTTGGTTTGGCAGCAAACAGCACATTTCAAGGATCCTGGTACAGTCACACGTGCCAGCTATTCAGGTGCATTGGTTTGCTGCATGGTCATTTTCTTTGTGCTATCACAAACTTGAGCAGGGGGGTTGCATTAGTAGGGAGAAAAATGGCCCAGTGCAGTGAATGGGCTATGACAAAATGAGCAGGCTTGCCCAGTGTAGCGATTTAAAGGGGCCTCCAGGTGACTGCTCTTTTATATGCACTCACCCATCTTCGGTAATCGGAGGAGGCTGGTGGCCATTTTGTAGAGTTGACAGTTGAGTGCAGCTGTGACTGAGAGTTCAGCTTATGCCTCACTGGCCAAACAATACATGAGTTTTTAAATGGTATGTGACATCAACACTGAATCACAGGGAAGGAAGCCTCCCTCTGCTCTGACTCAGCTCCATTGCCACGTCTCCATACTTGGCTGGGCAGAAGTTGGCAAGCCACTTACGCTCTCTTCCCTCTCCCCATTATTTCTGTGTTGCCCTCTACTTTCCCCTTGCATCCTCCAAATATCCAGAATTATGACCTGCTCATCTTCAGCCAGATCATGACTCCTGTGCAACAGCATATGTTTTGAAAATGTACAGCTGGAACCACATCATATTTCATTTAGCTTCCACTTTACTGGTGTAGTGATATGTGGAGATCATTCAAGGTCACATGAGGATTTTGTAGCATATTTAGGAACTGAATAGGTATCTTCCAAATATTGGGCCAGTGCTCCTGCTCAGGACCAGCTTAACAACAGGGTTTGAGAGCTGATAACAGGTTTTTATCAGTCCATCACCTCGTTTCATTCACAGAATTTTACAGCAAGTCTAGATAATGGCATCTGCAGTCACAGACATATAAATAATACTATATTTTAAACATGCAAACCATTTCTATTTGTAGGTGTGTGTGTATTTTTCCCCCGGGCAACTCTGTCTCCAGATCTCCAGATATGGTTAACATGTATAACAAGAGTGCCCTTCACCTCTTCAGAGCTGTAAGGTCAACAGCATACGCTCCAACATTTTGCAGGGGAAATAGGCATGGTTTTGTGTAGTTCTAACATCTTTCTTCTTACACCAAGGATCATCAGAAGGAACACACTCACACATGCACTCATATGTGGCTGCACATGGCTTGAAGCATTTTCGCCACCTTCAGTACTCTTCTTTCAGTTAGTCTTCACTAGCCTGGCCTGAGCTAGTAACTGAAAGAGTTCAACTTAGTAAGTTGATCACAAATATTTCCAGTAAAAGCTGGTGGTGCCAGCTGGTACTGGAAATGTACATCAGTGGGGCAGCATATTCACTCTGGGCAGCCTTCTGAAATTTAAAGGAGAGAGAGAGAGCGAGAGAGCGAGAGAGCGAGAGAGCGAGAGAGAGAGAGAGAGAGAGAGAGAGACAGAGAGAGACCCAAAGTTCAGTACCATGGGCAGCTCCTTAAAAGTTATGCCTTTCATTTGGAGTGGATACATTATTCACTAACTTTGGACTCACAAGCCTTTATGGAACATTTCCTTAAAACTTGATGCCTGAGCAATGCTGGATGCCACAACAGACTTGGTAATAGCTGCATTTGAACCACATACTATCTGGACTGGCAGGTAACTATAGGGAACGTGAGGCAGAAGCAGGTGCACTTGGATGCTCATTTGCACAGGGTTGCAGAATCTCTCTAAAGGCCTATATATTCACAATGAAATATATACTAAATATGCTGTTTTCTTGGCCTCTGTTTACCTTAGCAGCACCCACCACTGGCATGCAGCTCCCTAGAGGTTCTCTGAGATGGAATTCAGCCCTTGAGCTGAAGGAAAGTTGACACTCCTCATTTACATGCATACATGCTAGATGCATCTTACTCAAAACTTTAGAACATCTGGAGAGGCCCTGCTTGAGGTATCTTCATTAAGTGAACTGAGGAAGGTGGTTAAGAGTGAGAGGGCCTTTTTGGTGGTGGCACCAGAACTGTGAAATGCCCTGCCCAGAAAGGCTCATCTGACATTTTCTTTTTGGTTACTGAAGCACCAAATGGAGGCTTTTTTGTTCTCCCAGGCTTTCAATTTTAGCACACTTTTTATCTATACTTTTAAAAAAGTTATGCTGTTTAATATGGTTTTATTTCTCTTCTATCAACAAGAAATTTTATGATGCCATTTTGAAGTATTGCATTTTATTATCACATTTCAATATTTTGGGCTTTGTCAGCCATTCAGAAAACATTGTTATTGAGCACTCTATTTGATATTATAAATGAAAGACTAAATAAATAAACGTTCCCCTTCCCCTCAGATCCTTTATGTTCAGAGATCTGATTAGGGTGATCATGTGGCCTACTTTACTGTCCTCTGTCTGAAGCCACCCTCCTTTTGTAGGGCTGTGCAGCCCAAGCCCAGTTTAAAGAAAAAAGGAAGAGGAGGGCCCCACTGGTCATAAGCACCTGGACAGCAGATTGAATCAGACAGGAAGCACGCCTGGTCACAGCCCTCCTCCTATGGTGAGATGTCTTGCATTTATATGCAAAATAGAGCATGCTTTTTTCTAAATGTACATCAATGCATATGAATTAGCATGTGCACATTTTATCCAAATCTCTGTTTTCTCTTGTGGCTGTGCAAGAGGCCACCCTGCAGTGGACTGAACCCTAAAGAGCAGCATGTGTGCTCACATGAACAAAGTGTTTAAAAGGCAGCCTAGATTCTCTCCCAAAGAAGAAAAGGCTATTACTCTGTCAGAGACAGGAAAATAGGGATAGTTGCTGTGCATGTGCTTGAGCGCTGTCTTTGTGAGGCATCCTCAGTGACTGCAAATCACAGCCTTTCCTCTCAAAAAAAAGGACCAATGGCTATTAAGCAGGTATCCCAGCTGGAATCAGTTTAGTTAGCCGGTGCTCTGATCCTGTCAAAGAGAGAGAGACAGTTACCCATCGACGAGATGAGCCTTCCTTACATAACTAGCTACAAACAGGCCCTTGAGTCATGGGGTCAAATAGGAAAACTTCAATTATAATTGTATTGAAACAACCCTTTGGGAGCAACCACATGTCACATAAGTAAGAAGAAGGAATAAAATGCCCTGGGAAAATTGTTTGCAGTTTATTAAATATGGCTTTGGGAGAGCAAGAGAAAAGACAAATGGCAAAGGATCACTCTTGTGTTTTGTAACAATTCAAGACCTTAATTCCGCCTTTACTTATTTCTGGTTATGGCTACCTCTCACTTCACTTGATTGCAGGTGGTATAATGCTAGCAGCACTGCCAGAAAGCTATGGAGAGACATCCATCATTTGATTATCATTCGGCACTTGATGGTTTACTGCTGAGCTGCCTTTGTCACAAAAGGGGTTGCTCCAGAGGTGATATGAGCTAACAGAAAAATTCTGGTTTTGGTTCTAGTTTCTGAGACACATATATAGGGAAGGAGGAGAATATCCAAAATATCCAAGAGTAAGAATGACTGAACTATAAGGAATAATAAGTCAATAATGAATAAATAGTTCAGCATTCTAGCACTATGCCACCCTGGCTCTCAGTAGCTGTAGAATCTGAATGGTAATCTATCCACTTCGTGGCTATTGGAATTCAGTTTCATCAAATACGCATTGTACTGTGTTGTTTCAGTTTTTTGCCTTATGTATCTGTTATAAGTCATTATGCTTCTCTCCTTCCAGGCTGCCTGCACTTCCTGGTCCTAAAAAGCCCAATGGGAGGAATTTCTTTATGATTACCCCAGGAATCACCTCTCCTGGGCTTTAATTGATGTGTTGGAAGCTGAGTGTGTTACACGTTGGCAGAGCATTGATTGTGCAATGAAAGATAGTGTGCATGCATGCATGTGTGCATGCACGCACACACACACACACACACCATGGCCACCTCTTAAGTAAGCACAAGTACACTGAACCCAACCAATGACAATTGCTCTAAAACATTATTTACTTTGCATTTCTTTTTGAAGGCAATTTATTTTATGGAAAGAATGAGAATGGTTGGAAGAGAGAAAGCAGAAGAAATATTATTTGTCATTATTTGTTTTTTGGCGCCAGGCGAAGACCTTTTTATTTAAGCAGCATTTTAAATGTTAATATTATTGAATTTTATTCGGCCAAGGCGGCTTATTTTATTTTACTGTATATATTTTAATTGTTATTGTTTTAATGTATTTTGTATTTGATGTTGTAAGCCGCCCTGAGGCCTTGGCAAGGGGCGGCATAGAAATGTTTTAATAAATAAATAAATAAATAAATAAATAAATAAATAAAATATTTGTCATAGCCCTAATCAAAACAACAAAGACATGAGCATAGGAAAACAGCTTCTGGGTTATATACTGAACTGCTGTGTACTTGCTTACAAGCAGTTTTCATAATTTCAGTTCAAACCAATAATGATTGTGGAATCATCAATTTGATCTCTGATATCCAGACATTTGAGTGTCATGGATTATATAGCCAAAATAGCACCCTCTGCACTGCTGATACCCCAGGAGTTTGCAGATGAACAAAAATCTTTAAGAACAGCCTCCCTGTTCCTCCCACAAAGTGTTGCTGACAGGGGAATGGAAGGGGGAACAGAGTCCTTAAAATCTTGAACGACAGCATTTCCCACCACAACATTTTGTCCCAGATGTAACTTGTTGGAATTGCATCTTGTCTATGCCTTTGGGTAAACCGTAACAAAGACCCTGTCAAGTCCTGTCAATTCTACTCCCACCAAGGGTAGAGATGTTTAAACCCTTTCTATGGAAATTCTGGTGGTGTTTTCCATTAGCTATGATATTCTAACCTAACTTACTGGATAATGTTGCTGCAGGCTAATAAACAGGCCTTCTTCCTCAAAAGTTAGCCATGGCTAAACTTGTGAACAAGCCACTTGCAAATACCTATTGTTAAGATGCCCTGACACATTTCAGTATTTAACAGCCCCCTCTGCCCCCAAGCATGCCATCTTACAGACCTCTGAAACAAATTAACAGTTGCTGCTTTGAATGTCTCTTACAATCTTATGTATGTTAGGTCAGAAGTAAGTCCTACCAAGTTTAGTATGGCTTTAGTCCCACATAAATCTGAAAGGATAGAGCTGTGCAGTCAATCCCAAATATAATTGCTTTAAAAAGGTTCCATTTGAACTCTGGAGCAGTTCTCCAACTTCAGAGACTGTACCTTTGGGCCTGGCCTACAATAAGAGGAACTTTCCCATTGGTCATTTCATGCTTCCAGAAGCTTGCATAATAT